TTCTCATGGCTTGACAATGCAGTTAGCTGAAATTTAAGAAACGATTTGCAAGCAGGGATGAGCACAAAAAGAGAGAGACATACAGCCCATCTGCAGGCATTAAAAAGCTGTGGGAAAACACATAGCCTAAAATTGTGTCCAACACCTTTTTCATCTTAGGAATGTACTAAATTAGTTAACACAATGGGATTCAGAATCTATATTGTTCTCTTATTCCCCCTCCCCTCCCTGTTCCATTAGCTGAACATCAATGACAGCAAGATTCTCATCAATGACTATCAGCAAATTGTCTTTACAAAACTAGGCAACAAAAGCGCCTAGACTGCCACAGAAAATGTTTGCCACCCATGCACCCATGGCCCATACAGACTGAAACTGTCACATCTAATCAGGACATGAAAATAGTTGTACATTTGTTGGGCATCTGACTAATCAAAACAGATTTGGTCAACGGAGTGTTCTATATTTGTCAAAAATGTACTCATAAATTTGGAACAATTATAAAGGAATTTTCAATAACTGACAAACGTGATATTTGTCCTAATGTGTTTTTATGGCAAAACTAAAAAAAATAACTTTAAAAAATGCTTTGGATGATTATGATTCTTAAAGATGCTAGGCAAGGTTTCTACCAATATGAATATTATTTATTTATTTATTTATTATTTATTTAAAACGTTTATATCCCGATCTTCTCTACCTCCGTAGTGGGACTCAGACCGGTTAAACTGAAGACACTGTGTGGTCCATGAGTTTTGTTTTCTTGAAATAGTACTGGCCTAGAACAATGTAGAATTGGCTAAGGACCACCACAGCATCACAAAAACTTGAATGTTCAACTGCACAGCTCTTCTTTTTAACTTTGCACACATAACATTAAAACCACTTAAATGTTTAAAAAAGAAAAGAAAAAGAAATGGAAATAGAATTAAAGTAACACGAATGAATGGAAGAAGGTAATCAACCCAACTTTTACAAAACGTAGTTTTAGATAAGCTGCAGGGCAATAGTCTAACATAATCAGCACAATTTGCCTAGTTCTTCCAGCATCAAAGACACGATCCTTGGTTTGGAGAAGCTTCCAATTGCAGGAAATGGACACAATAATATATTTTGTTACAGAAATAGATTTGCCCCAAGTGCTGAAGAACTACAGCTTTGCAAAAAGTTAAGCTGTCAGCTGCTTTCTAGCATTCTTGGCTCCAGTGAATATTTGACATTATAAGTTGCCAATAGGCAATATTTATCTAGTCAGTTGTCTGGTGTCATGGTTCTACTTTACCCAGAAAACTTAATGGATTTCTCTTGGCTTTAGCACTTAATCATTGAATACAGATTGGGTAAGAATCAGAACAGGTGATTGCTAGGATAAAGAGCTGAAATTAATTGTGTGTTTAACCACACTTTCTTGGTATCTTGAAATAACAATATCTAGTAATTTAAGATGACTTTTTGTTGTTGAAGTGGTGGCAATGACATGTCCTCCTCTCAAATGCCTGGCAATGTTCTATGACTGCATGCCAAGGACTGCTGGGAAGTATTGCATCCCAGATGCTAAAGACATGGTCCCATAGTGCTGGAAAAACATTGCCCAGCCTTCCTTGCTTCTGGCACATATCCTTCATAGTATGCTAGCCACAGCGGGAGGAGGCAGGGAGAGGAGAGAAGTTCCATCACCTTACTCCATGACACCAAATAACTAAATGAGAAGAAAGTTTGGAGTAGAACCTGTATATCCGAGCAAAGCAGAGCAATGGAAACAGAGATGAAGAAAAAGCCTAAATTTCATTCTAACTGGAATGCTTGTTCCATACAAAGGTTGTGGCTGTGTTCAGATAATATCCAGAACCCGCACTGTAATTTACAACAGATTTTTCAATCTAGTAATACCCTCAATCCTGCTTTTGTCTGTTCTACTTGCTTAACATCACAAATTCTTTATCCATTCTTTCCTGCCTCCATGCACTTTCCATAAAGAAAGAGTATCAGAGTAATTAATTTTGCTGCCTTACTTTTCTGACCTGCTAATTGACAAAACATGCCAGAGGGCCTTATCAGCTTAATTCCAATTGACAGAATCGCAGTATCAACACTCTAGAGCAGGCATGAGCAAACTTCAACTCTCCGGGTGTTTTGGATATCAACTCCCACAATCCCCAACAATTGGTAAGTTGGCTGGGATTTCTAGGAGGTGAAGTCCAAAACATCTGGATGACCTAAGTTTGCCTATGCCTCTGCTAGAAGGAATGTACCAAGGCCAATAAAAAGAAACCAAACCAATGTGACATGAGACTGTTCAGAGCACCATCCTACAGAAGAACCAGAATGATATATTGATTGGAGAGTTCAGCCACAATTCTAAAGGCCAGAGTTTAAAGCCCTGCTCAGTTGTGGAAACCTTAAGCATGTCACATTTTCTCAATTTCAGATAAATCCTTTCTAAACAAATCTTGCTAGAAAAATCCCATTTTAGGGTCCACCATAGCTCAGACATGTGTAGAAAACACACAGCAAAAACAAAAACAATCCCAGTGATGTTATATTGATACATACTTTTCTTCATCATCCATCTAGCTCAGTGGTTCTCAACGTGGGGTCCCCAGATGTTTTTGGCCTTCAACTCCCATAAATCCTAACGCTGGTAAACTGGCTGGGATTTATGGGAGTTGTAGGCCAAAAACATCTGGGGAACCCAGGTTGAGAACCACTGGTCTAGCTAAAAAGTTTTTTTGCAACACTAGTATAGGCAGGGTGCTAAACAGGTCTGGTGAAACACAGACTTTCAGTATCATGTTTCAACAACAAGACCACAGTAAAAAATGTAATAAAAGGTTGAGCTGGGAACTAATGGGATTATATCTATCTGGTTAGAAGAGCCTAGAAACCCTTTAATGAGCTGGCCTGAGTAGCAGAAAAAAGAGAAAATGCAAGAGCAGATAAGCTTGTCACATCCGCTACCCAATATGTTAAAGAAGCATATATGTATAATGTATATGTGTGGGCCCAAAAAAAAAAAATAAAGTAAGATAGAGGCTGGTGAAAGAAAAAAATTCCTGGATGCACAAGTTGTCTCTAGGAAAAATCAAAATGTTTTGGTTAATGGTTAAAGAAGTAAAGCTTTTGCTTCGTTCAAAAATAGACATAAGCAGAGTGGACTTGGAGCTTCTTGTTTTAGGACCCCAGCTTTAATTGATAAATTGATATATCGTGTTGTACCTTAATTTTAGATGTTATGTTTTAATTTGTTTTTATATGCTAGGTTATTATTTTTTTCTTCTTATTTATGTATTGGTTGTTGTATTCAGGCACTGAATGTTTGCCTTTTTGTGACTGAAATCTGCATTGAGTCCCTTTGAGGAGATGGGTGGAATACAAATAAAGTTGTTGATGTTATTATTATTATTATTATTATTATTATTATTATTATTATTATTATTATTATCTTATGCAAGACTTACCTGACCTAGTCACTTCATTTCACATGTGTGTATTGTTGCTTTTAGATAAAATATTTGCTGAAACATACTGAACTGCTTTTTTGTGGTACATGAATCTATATTAATGCCACATGATAGAGGACTTTGGCACTAAATGTTCTGGTTAAATAATTCCCAGGAATATGTCTACTCCTTTAATAGAAGTATACCTGTGTATCAGTAGAAAGTAAAGCAAGGAATTGTTTGTGCAGCATTAAAGCTTAGAAAAGCTACTTTTAAGACTTTATTTCAAAGGAGGGACTAGAAATAGATAATATTATATTTCTCTCATGGGAAAAGTCAGGCAAATATTTCTTTTTCTTTACAAATTTCATGTATTTTTAATACAATTAAATCCCATAGCACTGAAAACACAATGCATTGTAGAATCCAAACTAAACTGTATAGCTCATATGATGAAAACATTTTAAAAACAATATAAAAACAATAATAAGAACACTATCACAGTCAAAATAAGCCTGGGAAAACCAATGCAACAAAATTACATAATAAAAAGGCATTTAAAATTTCAAATAGGCTAGAGCTTTTCAGTGAAATAAAACTGCTGCAGTGTATATTTATGCATAGCATAATCATCCTCAACTAATGGTTGGATGCTGTATTAAAAGGCACTTAGCAACACAAATTTATTTATTCATTTTTCTTGCATTCTTAAGACACCCAAGAAGTTGAGGGACATGCATCAATAATTGAGTTTACTTCCTGCATCCTTTGTTTTAATCCATGAGACCCAGATACTTAGTTTGATTTCTAAAAACTTAAGTTGGTGTTCCAACAAGCAGCATATGCAATTAAAAAACTTGATTACATGAACACTCCAGAATGTGTTGTGATAGTGCTTTGCAGCTTCCCACAGCTGTGATTCCTGATGTAGTTTTCAACAAGGCCAGAACCATTGCATTCAACAAGGCCAGGAGAAATACTAACATCACATTCTGATAGCTTTCACCATGCAACAAAGAATGTAAAAAGAACTGTGTAAATCAGTTTATTGATTGAGCCAAAATGAAACTTTTGCCCCATTAGAAATATTACACAAAAGGGGAGAGAGCCTATTCAGCGATATCACACATTTGTGTTTACATGACTCAGTTTCCTTCGGAGTGTATTTTCTTTCATTTACTGATTATGTTACGATATGGAAGGCTAGAATTGTTCCTCATTATATGTACACAGTACAGCCTTGAGGCACTTCTACAATGCAGAAACCAAAAGGGAGGGGAAGCAGGGGGAAAGAATGAGAGCCTCTTATTCTTGCCGTTGACCTACATACTGTCACTTAATTGCAAACTTCATTTTCTGTTGTGTACCAGGAGAGGGGACCCGGTATTGACATGTTGTGTTGACTTGTTTAAAAGGGAATTGTTACTGAATGTTCCTGTCACCAACAAGACACTTTTCATAGCAGCATGCACATCTCTGGGGAGTGTTTCATGTATAAATTATTGAAGCAGCAAGAGAGGAAGAAAAGGAAAATTAATAAATAAAAGGAGCCCAACTTACGAGTGCAGGGCATAGCAGCAGCATCATTTTCTGATCGAAAAAAGCCTGGGTCACAGGTGCAAGAGGTAGAGCCTTCCCAGATGGAGAAGCTGTGAGGCGGGCACTTAGAACAGGCAACATCTGTTGAGAGAGCCTTGTAGTATCCGATCTTACAAGCTTAAAGAGAGAGACAAAAGACAGGAAGGAAGAGTGTTATTGATATAGGAACTGATAATAAATTGTTCTTTCAGTTATTTACTATCCAAAGATGGCCACATTTTCAAAAGAGAAAAAATATATATATTCAATTAATCCCAAGAGAGAAATTAACCAGCCAATAAGCACTTGATTGCAAACTCTTGAACAGAGGAAGGCAACTTTAATTCCACTGAGAATCCCTTAATAAGCAGGCCTGGAGAGCTTACAGCAGCACCTATAAGCAGGCCCATGTAGCAACTTAGTTGGAAAAATCTGTCTCGTTTTGATCTCTGCATGAGTCTGCTATGTAAACCCAACTTCCTCGCTCCCCACCTGCAAACACTCACACATTACTGTAAACAGGGTGCAGTTGTTTTAACTCTATGACCACTTCAGAAAGGCAGCTGATGCTCTGTGACACTGCCAATTTTTGAGATGGAGCGGAATAAAATCCCACTGTGATTGGCAGCCACCTCTTACTCAACACATCCGGAAATAGCAATTCTCTCTTTTTTTACAAAGCCAATTAATTTAAACCCACCTCCATCCCAAAAGTGCAATGTACCGGTGGCTGCACTCCTGGACACAAAAGACCCTGTTAAGCATTTGGCAAGCATTTCGTGACATCATCTTCATAGAGGCAATATTACATGAATGGTTACTTTTACCTCATTTCAGCTTGTTTCTGTTTGTGCTTTTTTGTTTTTAAAAGCCACTTTCTGAAGTACTATTCAGAAAACCTTTTGAACAGCAGCCCAGAGTCTGTCTCCTCAGGAATTTTGGCCATGGCTAAAGATTACAGTTACTTAACACTATGGGACACTGCAAGCAGGGAAGGCCTTCCAGGAAATTTTTTTATAAAGGACAATGGGCAAAAGAAAGGAGGAATTGCTGCCAATATTTGCATGACTCATTTTCACATCTCTCGATCTCTAACCTAATGTGTCTTTAGAGTTCATCGTTTATACACCTATATGCAGACGTGGCTCCTACATACATTCCTTGGCACTGGGGCAATGAATGTGCTCCAAGGTTTAAATGATTTATCTATGGTGCTGAAGCTTGGGCTTTCAAGTCTAGACTAAAACTTGGAGGGGTTTCACTGCTTCACTCATAGGGGAGTCATCAGCAAACACTACCAAAATGATGTCATTTTCCACTTTACTTCCACTCACTCTTCATCCTTGGTTTTAATTTCTTTTCTTTTACTCACCCACTTTTCCTGTAAAAAAAAAAACCATGGATATCTGCAACATGTTTGCAAACCAGGAAGTCATTTCACCTTATTATCTGAGACCATTTATGGAATTTCCTTAAGGAGTCAAAGCTCTAGGAAGTGTCCATACAAAATTACTGTGAGATCAATCTTGCTTTTGCTTATTTCACCTGTCACTGGAACAAGAATCTTATCACAACACATAGACCTGTTGATAAAGGTGTACACTTTCAGAATTTATACATTTCTTGTAATTAGACTGGGTTTACATTGCATTATACTTTTCCCCCTATGTTTCAAAAGGCCTTGGGGTTTTGATTAAAATCAGAAACCACAACACCACTCAAGCAGAGCCTCGCCACATCAAACACAATTAGTCACTGAAAAACAAATGTAAACCTGGATGGATTTGGTCCATCATTCTGCCAGGGGCATCAAGAAAAGACAACTTACATAGAAATGAATAGATTTTTTTTAAAAAAAATGCCCCCAAAAGCTGTAAACAGGGAACTATTCTGCACCAAATTTTCATGTTGTTCATGAAAACAAGTGTTTTCTGGACAGAAAATGTTATTTTTTTTGTGCAAAACAATCATGTGTTCAGGTCCCAAACAGTAAATAGGGTTTTAAACCTTGTTTTCTTGCAGTAGAAAGGCAAATATTAAATAATTTGATTTTAAAAAATTAATGAAGAATTATATCTATAGCAGCTAAGAAAGTACTAATTAATACCCATAAAAGCAAAAAATAAACAAACAAAGCCTGGAGGTCTTCAATTTCCGTTACTCTAGGGTTTTGCTGGTTTCCTGAGGATGGAGACTAGTTATAAATGCATCTTGGCATGATTTGGGAGAGGGCCTAAACTGCAGTTAAAAGGCAGCTTCACCATCCTTCCTCCCGCTTCAATTTCTTTGAGTCACCATCATGCCTCCTTACATGGTGTAATATGTAGGATTTCCCCCCACCCCTTTATAGGCTTTCCCCTCCATCCTACCCTACCTACATTGTCATGGAGAATTGGATAATTGGCTAAGATGGTATTGTTAAATAGATTTTCATGGCAGGTGTTGTGAAGACATAGGATCTGGTGATATACCTTCTGATACATGGATGGGAATTTGAAACTGTTCCTGTGTATCAAACTTTTTTTCCTGTGGTCTGGACTCTGGATCTTTTGGTCTTTACTTGATAGGTTGGGCAGCAATGATGGAGGAACTGCAGTAATATCAATGGATATGATGTAGCTGATGCATCAACATGTGAATACTTTCACAAATACAATTTGAAAAGTTTTGTTTTTAAAAAGTGAAGCCTAATGTTCTGGGAAAAGGTCAGGAAAATACTATGTATTTTGGTACTTAACGTTAAAACAATAATACTGGAGATGCCTGAATATGGATTTTCAGATTATGCAGTCCCAATTCCATTCTGACTTGAAAAATTTCTCCCTCTGCAAGAGCTGTGTGCATAAAAGTCAGTCCATTCCTGACTAAGAACTGAATTATCAAGTGGAAGATATGCGCATATGGAAGATTGGAAACTATCCAGGAGACACTCTTTCATACAGCCAAAATGGGGTACTTCAGATTCTGAAGTAAACAATACAACTTGTGAGTAAATCTTTTAAATGATAAATACAGGATATTAAAAAAAACTTCCCCAATAATCTCTGCTCTATGGGCCAGGAATATGCCATAACTGCCTTGTTTCTTTTCAGACACCACAGATAGGATTTTGATCACCATCTTGAGATGAAAGCACAAACTCTTAGGTAATGTTTTCTTCATGTTTAACATAAGAAGTTCTTTTAGACTAGTTTGGAAAACTGATGACTGTGCCAGTAGAACCGGGAAAAGTGAAAAAGAAAAAAAATATGGAAAACAGTTATTATAAGCTATTCTTGATTCACATACAAGACGTACCAGGAAACCTCATGTTTCCTGATTTCAGAGTATAACAACTTGCTAGACTTGTTCACTGTTTTGTTCAAAAGTTGGATTTGGAGATATTAGCATAATCAACAATTCTAATATTTTAGAATATATTAACATCAGCAAAATAATCTCCTTGAATTAATCTCAGAGTTCTTCCAGACAGGCCCTATATCTCAGGATCTGATCCCAGGTTTTTTGTTCATTCCAGATTATCTGGCAGTGCGGACTTATATAATCCATTGTAAAGCAGAAAACACGGGATCAGATCCTGGGGTATCTGGAAGGGCCCTCAAATGCTTGTGAAGTAAAGATGTTGAACAGACTGCTTCAAATTAATGTCCAGAGTGCCACAAAATGTGAAACTAATCCCACCAGTGGTAGAAGCTGTCTAGCATATAGTAAAGAGCCTTTGGAAAGATATGTTGGATAAAAGCCAGAGATTGAGGGAATCTTTTACCATAAAGATATAATTATGCAAATACACTCACAGGTAATTTCACAATCTTCAGTAAATCTCACTGTCTTCAGTAAATCTTACCTGGACTGTGCAGAAATTTCTCACAGTCATTTGCAAACTTCTCTAACTAAAACTTTTTAACTGAAATGAAGAGTTGATGGCTGAACTGCTTTGACATTAACTGAACCATAATATTTTCACACAATACAACAAATACATCAGCTCAATATTTTAGTGACTATTACAATCCATGTTATTTCTAGATTGCCTTGAAAGTACTCTTTCAAACATTGATGATTGTTATGAATGAGTCTTCAAAAATGACCATAAGAAAATAAGACCAACTTATAAGATTTTTAGAAAAGGTGATGCTTTGTGTCCCATCTCTCACTTTACAGAAGAACCCTGCTGGATTGGATCAAAAGGCCAGCTAGTTCAGCATCCTGTTGTCCACTGACTACTTGTCTGTTGGAAGCTCAGAAGAAGTTCATGACGAGGGTCCCTTCCTGCTGCTGGGCTGGGAGGTCTAGGTGTCCTGGCAATTGGGATTCGGGAGCATGCTGCCTCTGATGATGAAAATAGCATGAAACTACTGTGACAAGTAGCCCCTAATGGAGTAAATCTTGTGAAGGAAAAGGTATGATCCCCCAAGGAACTTCCTCATGAATTTACCATTGCCATAATTAGTAAATATTTTAGCTTGGAAAGTAAAGCTCTTTTAAGAAAGTAAATGTTTCCATATGAGGTGAGAATGGCCTTGATGGGAAAAAGATAATGCTGTTTCATTTTCCAAAGTATAATTTAACCAGTACATATAGCCCTTACTGTGTGTATGTGTTTTAAACATATACCAACAGGATCAATATAGATATTTAAAAAAAACAGGAATCTTGCTATTGGATTGAATCAAAACAATCCACTCCATTTTTCTTTCATACTGTCTTACACACAAATATACACATAGATTGTCTTTTTTTTAAAGAAACAAAGGATGAGGAGGAAGGTTAGGAGAAAAAGCAGGAGAGGAAGACAATAATATTTAGTAATGATGATGCCTCTTTTGGCCCACTTATCTGAAATTTACACTTTACTAAAATGACCTAGTAAATTTATTATCTGGAGTGGGCAAATTGGACCTCCAGATGTTGGATTGCAATTCTGGCAAGTGCAGGATGACCTAATCAATGGCAAGGGATGCTGGGATTTGCAATCCAATAATATCTCGAAAGTTACACTTTGCTCATGCCTGCTATTTAAAATTTGAATTGTTTTAAACACTTGATTTTGAGGTCTCCAGCATGGTGTTGACTTATAAGCAGCCTAAAACTCAAATTAAGCAGATATGACAGCATGCAGTGAAGTTGGAAGCAGT